GGTGGGTCTCACTAATGATGACAGAAGAACAGAGTGGGTGGGTCTCACTAATGACTGGGCCATACTCTGATGACAGAACAGAGTACTAATGACTGGTCTGATACTCTGATGACAGAACAGAGTGGGTGGGTCTCACTAATGACTGGTCTGATGTGGGTGGGTCTCACTAAAGACTGGTCTGTAGTCTGGTGACAGAACAGAGTGGGTGGGTCTCACTAATGACTGGGCCATACTCTGATGACAGAACAGAGTGGGTGGGTCTCACTAATGACTGGTCTGTAGTCTGATGACAGAACAGAGTGGGTGGGTCTCACTAATGACTGGTCTGATACTCTGGTGACAGAACAGAGTGGGTAGGTCTCACTAATGACTGGTCTGATACTCTGATGACAGAACAGAGTGGGTAGGTCTCACTAATGACTGGTCTGATACTCTGATGACAGAACAGAGTGGGTGGGTCTCACTAATGACTGGGCCATACTCTGATGACAGAACAGAGTGGGTAGGTCTCACTAATGACTGATACTTTTATAAAGAGGCTACTGAAACTAAGAATTGAAAATGTAATAATATGACTCTTTAATTCTCATTTCCTTGCTATTTCTACAACTGTTTAGCTTTATTTATAGTTGAAGCCAAACCAGCTCTCTAGAATCAAATCTATGGTTTTTTACCCAGTACAGACACATTTGTCTTCCTTGGTTCCAATGGGTGTATTGAATACTCAGGCAGTATAATTTGATCAAATAAAGCTGGTGACTTATTCCCAATGCATACTGTCTGGTCCCACTGAAGTATCCCATTTACTACTGTAGGCTCCCATTAAAGTTAGGGGCCATAACTGATTCAGTTTCTGGAGACAGATCCATCCCATCAAAGTGCCGAAATCCTAATTACCGTTGCTAGGTAAAGATCACATAGTTGACATTGTAACTGGTTTGTTCGCTTGGTTTATCACCACATGAACGGCTTCATTTTGAGGCCTCACGGTAGTAGCTGGTGGCTACCACACTGAACACAATGTGGGAGGTCCATCACATGCTATTTGGAGCAATTAGAGTAAAGTGTCTTCCCTTGGCACAACCACCACAGCACAGAATGGTTTCTCAACTTTCTGAAAATATAAATTGCCATGGTTAGGCAGCAATGAACTATGCACCTTACATTTTTAACTGATGTTTTGAAGGTCAATTCACTGCTGATTTTGTCTTGGTGGCTCTGAGAATATAATTTTTATGACGCTTTAAATATGGTGTCTTCCTTTGTAAAAGTAGAATAATAGACACTTTGAATATTACAGAATTTTAAAACAAAGCTGTTTAGATATTCTTTATTTTGTTATTAATTCGAACAGGGATGTACCAAAATATACGAGTCCAATCTTCACATCAAATGTGAAGAAGAGATACTTTTTTCAGTCCTGCTATAAATTCTGTCTTGAAGACTAAGTGACTGTATACTTGAGCAATATCTGACACTTTGTTGCTGTAAGCAAGAATTAGTTGGTACTAATGTATCTTGTAATGCATACTAGATTTCTGGTAAATGGTTCAGTTATGGAGCCCGGTAAATTTGCCTGGTCCTGACAGTGTCCAGCAGTGCTAAAGTCACCGGTCAATATGTCCTGTCACTGGACATGGTGGTGAGGACCAGAACCATTAAAGTGTTATGTGATATATAGTGTATGGTACCTTATCATTAGACTGCTGTTATTTAAACAGCAACGTTAAACAAATGTGAATAAAATATAAGATATTTAAAGATGGAAAAGTGGTACAGTAATTATTGATAAGACAATGAAAAAGAACTGTAATATATCAAGTTTTATATACTCAGATCTCTGAAATACAACTTCAGCTGAAGATTCAAGGTGTGTGGTTCAGTTCTCTTATACTTGTGAGATATGAGGTGTTTGGTTGAGTTCTCCCTATACACAACCCTGATGGTTTGTGTTTCTCTGGGAGCTGAGCCATTAACAGGTTTTTACTGTTGTGGTTGAGTTCTTCAGTAAAAAAAAATACCAGTTGCTCTGGATAGATAGAATGTTATGGGCCTCCCATATGTTGTTCAGTGTGGTAGACATCAGCTGCTACAAGAAGTTCCTGCCTTATAATAACCCTGTATGTTCACTCAGTAAACAACAAACTAGTGCTTTGGATGTATATTGACATAATGATTGAAAAACATTAATAATGGGTCGGTTTGCTAATGTTGAGAAGGAAATTTTATATTTGGTTTTGGTGTTAAAATTTATGTTTGAAAATTCAAAGTAAAACAAGAATTAAAGGAATTAAATTCTTATCATACATTTTGTTGATAAAACACAAAGATTACTGTGAAATCATATATTTTAGAGGGTCTCAAATTTCATGGTTTTCCAACAATATACATTTTCATTAGTTCTTGATTTCATAGTTCAATCTTTCTCACAAATTCTGCCAGTACTCTAATTGTTGTCAAGTTTTATCCATTTCTTATGTGGAAAATGTATTCCCCACAAATATTAAAGACTTGACAGTATAATGGAATTTCAATGGAGTGTATTACTGTATATAAGATTAATTCAAATTTGCATGATGCATATATACATTATTGTTTTTCATGAAGTTTTGAAAGAATGATAAAGTTAATCTTCCTTGAAATTATCTCAGTTTTCAAATGTGTTATTTAATTGATTATCTAAATTCTAAATCATGACGTTAAATTAGATTCAAAACATTTCATCTGAAACATTATTTAATTACAGATATTCTCAGTAGTGATTATAAGGGGAATGTCTTTGCAGGAAGTAAATCGTGATATTAGAGAATGTCATTGTATATTGAGATATGATGAGTTTAATCCACCAGTTTACACAGGGTTGTTTACACAGTGAACAGGAGAAGGTTATTGACTGAATCTCTACTGATTGATGATACCAACTGATTCACTCCTACACTGTTCAGTACAGCAGTTCGTTGTCTATGTGTGTCCATTCAAGTCTCTCACAATCAATTTGTGGCTATATTCCCTTGTCTTAATTAGACAGCACATGTAATTATTCAAGCCCTCGATTGACTCATGTCAGAGAATACAGCTGAGGTGTATTGACCGTGGCAGGGATGGGTGGTGCCCTCTGGTGATACATGATGGCTGCTGCTGCTTTCACTGTGCATTTCCGTATCATGATTATGTATTTATGAAGTAAATGTCCTGTAACTGCCAGATAGTGATACTGTCGATTTGCGATTACTTTTACACGCCATGAAAATTTGTGATATGGCTTATTGCCTATCCCAGATATTCGTAGTTGTTCAAACCAATTCCATTGTCAAGAAATGTGAAGCTGTAAAAGACCAAAAAAAAAAAAAATGTAAATCGCAGTATTAGTACTATATTTCTATTCATTCAAAAAAAAAAATTATTTGTTATAGATGTTTATCAGACTTTAGATTTTTTTTATTCTTTTCTGAAAAACAGTTGGATCAATAATGAAATTTTCTTTATTGTACAACAACTTTTTCAACTTACGTAACTGTCAATTAAGGGTCCATGGGGACATGATGCAAGGATGATATTTTGTGCAGAAATTCTTATTTCATTATGGAAAAATAACATTCTTTTCTCAGTTGTAACAACTTTTAATACCTTTGCTAACCTCTATTTATCAATCCTTTCATCCTAATTTAATATTAAATAGACAGTAATTGAATTAACGACTTAATGTAGTACATGTATTCAAGTAGTTTTGCCTGTATATTGTAGTCTATGAGTTAAAGGAAATAAATAGATTCAATCTTTCAGACTTTTTGGAGTTGTTCTTAGGTTAATAAAGATCAAAATTTTCCAAAATTTGTAATCATTTTAAGTTTGAACCCATTAATGGTATGTAAGCAATGCAGTAAAAGTCAGGGTTGACTTTTCAGTATGTGATGTATTGTGATATTCAAGTTCATCAAAATTATGACCAGAAATTAAAGCAAAAATCAATAATGACAAATTGTAAATAAAACTTTGTAAATGAAATCATGTTCATTATTATTACAGATTGAATTATTTGTTACTTAAATGTAATTTTTCAAGAAACTTTCTTTCAACTTTTCAATGAATTAGAAAAAAAATTACTGATTTTTTTGTCCGTCCATTTCTCAAATTAAGCTTATTAATTGATTGATTAATTAGTATTAGCATGACATATTTAGCAAATTTTTACATTGTTGATGGTGTGTGCTGTAATCTGATTTTTCATTCCACTTCCTGGCTTCTTTATTACTTAAGCGACTTGCTGGTCAGTTCAAACTGACCACTCGATGTCTACATATAGGACTTTTCTTCATAAAAGTAAATGAATGACAGCTATGACCAGTATTTTTTTAAAAAAAAATTTGAGGTGTTGAACTCTGATTATAATTACTTGCTGATTAATAATTGACTATGTCAATTGAATTGACAACTTAAATTTGTCAGTTTAGTAATTGACTGTGTCAATTGAATTAACAGATTTGGATACCACAGGTGTCCTGAGCTTGCCCTTATAGGGTTAGGTCAATTACAGGTGGTTCACCTCTCCTTTGTGTACACATGTACCCCAGTGTCTGGGTTGGGACAGCTTTCCAAGATCCTGATTGGTAATAACAGGCACTGGAACAGTAAATTATCAGTTTATTATGAGAATTTTCCGTTTCTTGAGTGTAAACTAGAAATTTCTGTGAAAAAGTTGGGTCTAGATTAAGGTGAGTGCTTTATCAAAGCGCCACCCGACCAAATCATTGCAGGCTCCATGTTGTAATGTTGAACTTTGATGATGATCCTATTGATTTTATACGTTTATCAATTATGAAAATTAGACATCTATGTCTTAGACTTATTATACAGAAAAAGGCAGCGACTTTAGATGGCTTGTTTTGGGTGATTTTGAACTTGTTTTGTTTTTTTTTTTGTATCATTGAATAGAAGGATTGTATACATATATACTGTTTTATGTAAAGCTAATATGTCTACTTGAACATTGTTTGTTACAGATATCCAGGAGTTTTATGAGTGCACACTTTTAGATGACAGTAAATCTACACAACAGAAAACTCTGGAGACACTTCGAATAGCCAGCAAATGGGAACAGGAACCACCCATCACCAACACACAACCAAAGATAGACGTAAGTTACCCCAAACACACAACCAAAGATAGAAGTAAGTCACCCCAAACACACAACCAAAGATAGACGTAAGTCACCCCAAACACACAACCAAAGATAGACGTAAGTCACCCCAAACACACAACCACCCCAAACACACAACCAAAGATAGACGTAAGTCACCCCAAACACACAAACAAAGATAGACGTAAGTCACCCCAAACACACAATTGAAGATAGATGTAAGTCACCCCAAACACACAACCAAAGATAGACGTAAGTCACCCCAAACACACAACCAAAGATAGATGTAAGTCACCCCAAACACACAACCAAAGATAGACGTAAGTCACCCCAAACACACAACCAAAGATAGACGTAAGTCACCCCAAACACACAACCAAAGATAGACATAAGTCACCCCAAACACACAACCAAAGATAGACATAAGTCACCCCAAACACACAACCAAAGATAGACATAAGTCACCCCAAACACACAACCAAAGATAGACGTAAGTCACCCCAAACACACAACCAGAGATAGACATAAGTCGACCCAAACACACGACCAGAGATAGACGTAAGTCACCCAAAACACACAACCAAAGATAGACGTAAGTCACCTCAAACACACAACCAGAAATAGATGTAAGTCACTCCAAACACACAACCAAAGATAGACTTAAGTCGTCCTCACAAACACACAACCAGAGATAGACGTATGTCATCCTTGCCAACACACAAACATAGATAGACTTAAGTCATCCTAACAAACACACAACCAGAAATAGGTGTAGTCATCCTCACAAACACACATCCAGAGATAGACGTATGTCGTCTTCGCCAACACACAACCATAGATAGACGTATGTCGTCTTCGCCAACACACAACCATAGATAGACGTATGTCGTCCTCACCAACACACAACCAGAGAACTGCTAAAAAGCAGAGTCTCTGTTGATGAGGTAGCTGTTAGTTGTATGATGCAAGGTTTTGATTTTATTGGTGTAATCCTTGGTTTTGACATGGTTTCCCGTCTGGATGGCATGCTGCATGCTATTACAGCTGTCGTCATATAAAGTTATGGTCACTACACAAGGATCAACTGTCTAAGACTGTTAGTGTTATGTGATCATCACATTATCCCTGGTAAACCACACTGTTACAGACTTTGATAGTTGTTAAAGCTGTAGGGGGACGAACAGGAATATCAAATGATAAAAGAGAGTATAACAAAAACATGAGTAAGGATATAAATGTTTTAGCTTCGTAATGGAACATCTCATCGTAGCTATGGCTGACCCAAGATTCCTAGAACTTTGGTATGTCGTTGTCTAGTATAAAAAAGGCCAAAAAAATCTATGTCATTCAAGTCTCAGTTTCTATAAAGTTCAAATTTCCCTAGTGAACTGTGTCTGTTGAGTTTTGGAATAATGCTAGTCTATAAATATTTAAGACCTTACATTGTGTAAGTTTACAATTGAAAATAACTAAGGATATGTCTATAGCTAATCTATCAGAGGCATTCGTTCAGAAGCATGTACTTGTAAGTGAAACCTGTAGGAGAATCTCACTCAAGTTGATGTTGGCAGGGTGTGGGCAGGATTTATAGGACTATTGAATAAAGGTGGTATACTTTACTTAAACTCTCAAAGCACTTTTCAACGTTTATCTTCCAGATCAATAATTCCATAGATTAAAATACAAAAACCGATAGAGTTTTCTTAGTACTTACCAATCCAAATATATTTTCTTTGTGGTTCTTCTTGGAAAATTGGAAACATTCCCAAAAGTAAAATATTCTTTCTTTTATTATAGCAATACATTGTGATTTCAGCATTAATTGCTCAAAAGAGTTTTAAAGTAGATATGCTTAGTGGTTAGAACTTATATATGTGCTGAAGCTCTAGGATGAAATTGACTGTTACAATTTGTTTTTCTTGAACTAAGGACTTGACAAAAGAAGAACCATGTTAGATAGAATATATCATAGAAAATGTATATAATAAGATTCATGTTCAGGAATAATTTTCTGGTAGTGGTGAAAATATTAACAATTTGACCTCTGTTCTCAGTTTCTGAGCATTTTCTATTTAATTGACCTTAAAAGTTTGAAATGATATTTAGGAAAAGCAATCCCTTTCCAGGTTAAGCATACATGTGATAATTTGCATCTGCCAGCAGATTGTCAATTTTGAAATCTTATATTTGTATCAGACTTGAAAAAGAAATGAAAAATACTTAATCAAAAGTTGTCACATGGAATTTGAGATTGAATCCATGAAGAGTTATCTCCCTTCTAACAGTAGTCAGTGCTCATGAAATCAACATAAACGTGTTTGGCTCAGTCAACATGGAATGTGTTATCTGTTGTCCCAGGAAATGAAACCACGTTATGTCTACCCATTAATAGCTGCTCAATAGCCTTTTATTGCCAGGCAATAAAGCAGCTTGTGATTTTGTCCAGGGCTTGCCTCGATATTGAAGGGATCCTGGATATATGTACAATACACTGGTTTCATGTTATGATAAAGATGCATTAGGTTAAACAACATTTTGTCTGCAATAGTAGGAATCTATTCTGTTATATCTTTGGTGAAATTGGGTTTTCAGATTCATTCAACCATAGAAGTGAAGTCATTTTTGCATGCAATATCATATTTTGAGTAACGTAACCTAGTAAGTGAGGTTTCTCGTAAAAGAGTTCATACTTGTTAATGTGGAGCGGGCTCATTTTCTTGTTATTTCATAGCTGCTAGAGAATTTTAGTGTAGTATCTGTGTATTTACAGTTTTATGTGGGCGCTAGAATGTAGTGATTGTTCGAAAATACCCAGGAATTTTCATGTAATAGGCATCAATGTTTAGAATATTTCACCACACAGTGTGTAACACTAAAATGATATTAAAAGACAGATTAATAGACAGTTGCAGTCTTTGTTATGTTAGATACAATTTAAGAGCACCACACACACAAAAAAGATGTGTTTCTAATATGAAGATAACAGTTTTATTCAAATTTCATTGAAATTGAGGAAAATATACTTCCTGGTTGGGGTGTTTTATACTAATTGACAGAAATTTAACGCAAATGACATGTTCATGTGGTCTATGAAATGAAGATGGTATTTTGAATCCTGGTTTTATTACATGGATTGCAGATGTTGGCCGTCTTCAGCATGTTGATTGGAATTCTGATAAGTTACATGTAGATCTTCTCATGAAAAGACAGGAAATAAAATTTCATTGGACATTCTATTCTTCGATTGTCATGTTGTACAATATTGATGGCTGGAACACGATGATTGATCATGTTGGAAGAAAAATAACTAGTTTGAAGACAAGTCTGACAAAAAAGTCTGGACTTCTGTCACTCATTTTTGATCAGTTTTGACAGAAAATAACATCCTGTACCAACTCCTACATGAAGTTGGTGGATTCAATTCCAATGAAAAAACATCACCCTGAAATTTTAAACATTGATTTTACAGAAAACACCAGCTTCTACAGATGATGAACTTCCACCCCCTCCTCCAGAGTTGAGTGAAAACAAGATAGAGTCCCGCACAGAAAAGTCACCGGCAGCCATGGCGCCCCCTACCAAGGCCGCTGTGCCATCTATAGACGATGATGACTTGCCGCCTCCACCGGTATGTGTCTTACATTATCAAAAATATGATATTTTCTGTCTGGCTTTTTCTGTGGTTTCAACAGGATTTAGAAATATTGCCTGTTCAAAGAGAAAAACTTTGATGTTATTTCAATCATGGCAGCTTCTTTCAACTCTCAGTTCAGACAAATGCTTCTCTTAAAAGAAGGAATGGATTCTTCCTGATGTAGCGTTAGCATTATCAATCATAAGTGATCAGTCTTCCCTCACAAATTTTGGGAAAAACATCTTGGCATATTCATGAGAATTTGCTAAGAATTGAAATGATAAAAAAAGTGCATGGTTTCTGTGAAGAAGCAGTTTAAGAAGAAAACAAAGGTGTTCATGTTGATCATAGGTCGATATGACACTTTGTTTTGACAGATTTAAAAGCCATAGAATCGTCTGATGTTTGCCTTTTACCCACCATTTTGAGTTGGTGAGACATGAGGTTGGATCACTACAGTGCTTGAATGCAACCTGTCTGCTCCTAAGCACTTATACCACACTGATGTAATAACATTACACTAATTATAAAGACAAAATTCTGGACAAAAAAATCCAGGTTTTTTTTAGCTGTCTTCTGGAGATACATGGTCATTTTAGATAATTTCTTGTTTTTGACTTAGATGTGTGAGTAATTTACTTGAAAGTTGGTAGCTGATATATCTACAAAGTTTGAAATATTATGTCTGCAATTTTCAATGCAATCATTTTATATAGCACTGAAACCTTAGAAGAAAACAATTAAAATTTGGAAAATTCCTCTTCTGCAAAGTCATTTGAAAACCAAAAAGACTGTTGATTATAAATATGAACATATTTAATCAAAAATATCTGTTGGTGACCCAACCTCTTGTATAATTTTACACAATCAATAAGTAATAAATACGGGGAGAGATTGGTTTGTATGCTAGGTTAACTCTCCTCTGTTTGCCTGTGTCCATGTAAACAGTGACATTGTCGTCTTTCATTGAACTCCACTGAAATATTCCCAAGATGAAATACTAAGATATTGGCTGGAGATTCTAGTGACAATTTCGTCTTTGTCTGGCATTCATCCCTGTTTCGAAAGAAACATGCATGTTCTAGTTAATTAAATCTGATCCAAATTCGTAAAAGGAAAAAAAAAAAAAAAAAATCAATGCAGTGTATTGATGCCTTTGAATATTTTTGTTTGTGTCTAGTTTAGATGATGTTGATAAAAGCAGAGCTGTATGTGCTGCAGGCTTTGGCATTATTACAGAAATTTTACCTAACAGATATGTTTTATGAAAATTAACTTGTATAGACAGCACAGAAATTAGAATAGAGACGTACAATTTCTTCTGACAAGGGTAAAGGCATTTGAAAAGGCCTGTCACCAGGGCCTTGACAGGTTAATTCTCTTATCACTACAGCAGAAAGCTCTGAGCCAATTTTTTCCATTCGAAAAGGAAATGAGATTTTCAACTTTTTGAAATTCAAATTTTGTGTGAATTTATGGAGATTTTAACTATATGATAAAAGATTGATTTAAGGGGTTGTTATATGGTATTGGTTTCAAATTATAATTAGATGATGAAAATGGATAAGATTAAATTAGAATTTGTGGTGCTAGCATCTTATCAGAATGTCATAGGTGTATGTACTAGGTTTGTTTATCAGTGAATTCACAATAGTCCATATATGCAGAAACAGCTGTTAGAATTGTGACCAGAATGTGGAAGATTCATATTCAACAGAACATAATGGTTCATGGCTTAAAAAAAAAAAAAAAAAAAAAGAAAAATTGTGGATGTAGGAATACTTGATTTGTTTTGGCACTATATAATTTTAGCTCATTATGATGCTCATTATGGCAAATTAGCAGATTGACAAATTTGCCCATTCACGTCATAAACAAATGGTAATATGTGCAGCTGGAGTTAAGTTCAATAAATTTAACCAGAAATGTGCTGAAATAAGATTACTGCTAGAATATGAAGAGAAACATTAGCAAAAATAAACTTGATTTTCTCAACCAATAAACATGAAGGGCTTCATTGTCATGGACAATATAATATAGCATGGTGACATCTCGAAAGATTTATGAATCCACACACAAACACATAGGGATTAACTGTCTGGGCAATGACTTATACGTAAAGTTGGTTGTTATTTACAAGTCACACAAAAAGAATTTGTAAAACTTTGTGACGCAATATAGGCTTATGGTCTTGGTTTGAATTTTGGTTCTGACAAGGTCTCCTGGTTTCAACCAATCACATATTGAAATGACAGTTACTGACCAATTATATGAGGAGATGACCATCACGGACCGATCCTGTCGGGTTATACAGATAGATAGAAAGAGGTGGATCATTCTTGTTCGTATCGGACAACAGATTCATAGTTTCTGCCTCAGAAGAATTATGGTTCTGACTAATATACTTCTCAATTGTGAAAGATTTAATTAGTTTGAAACGGAGCTGGGTGTAAAGTTAGGTAACTCAGACATTTCCATGACTGAGCTGGTCACCTGGAAGGGATCACATGGACATATTGGGTGTGAATTCAGCATTTAAATTATCATGGCTGGCAGTGTGGTGCTGTCTGCCAACAGAGCTTCTGGTACAGTGACAAATTAATGATCTATCACCAAGCAAAGCTGGAAATTAAAGATAGGTCTGTCATATTAGGGCCTTGGAATTAGGAACGGATGATTTACAAGTCATAATCATTGCTTGTGGTAATGAACAAATTTGTCTTCGTCATGAACATCAGCATGGAGACTATATCAAGAAATTTTACGTAATGAGAAAATTTGTAAAACTATAAATCTTTAAAAAAGAATTCGAGATGGAATATTCAAGAAAGAATTCTGAAGAAAAAAAAAAAGAAAAAAAAAAGATATTTAAAATTTTTTTTTTTGTGAATTTGGTTTATTACTTTCTGACAAGTCGCGTTCTCTGTGGAAAAGAGTTATTAAGATTTCACATCTGCTTCATTGACAGGTTTTGAATTTGCCTTTTCAGGCATTATGTTTGTATTTGACTTCAAGAATTCAGCTTCCCTTGAACATTAAGTGGAAACATGTATGTTCTAGAGCATGTGAAGTTTACCCTTAAGCCATAAAAGACTGACAGTTTGATTAATGAAGCATTTGTAATGTGTAAATTATTTGAACATTAGACTCTCAAAGAAGTTGACACAGCCAAACAGTGGTGAAAGGTCTTGGGAAGAGGCATATTAAAAACCAATGTCTAGAGGCACCAGCAGAGATGATGTTGGCTTTATGACAAACCCTTGAAACTTTATTGCACATTTCTCTCTCATTTCACTGTCAGTCAAGTCCACGTCTTAAGTTTCATGTTCAGGAAACCAAAAGTGGATTTGATGTTTTTGACAATATTGATTTTTGAAGTGTTCGGCAGAAAGGTGAAGAGTATTCAAACTCCACCATATGGTTGGTGTGGCTATATCAGCAGAACATCTCTCTTCCTGTTTTCCTCTTCCCTCTGGTTCACGGTTGCATTTTATTTGGAAGCCTGTCTGTTATTTCCCGATCTTGTGATTACAGACCCTATTATCTTGTATTTTTTTTTACCGAAATGGTGGTTTAATGCTGAATTGAGACTACTGTCTTTTCTTATTGTCACATTAAAGTATTTTATTTTGTTAACATGTTGGTATCTCCTTGTTTAAGACCTCTTACTCTTTGCCAATGTGTGTTTATTTTCTATCATTCTGTCTTGAATGCTTGCCAATATCCAGATTGCCAATATCCAGTGAAGTCGTGGGAGTTTCACCTGATTGTGTGTTTTTTTTTGGAAGAATAACTTTGTGGCTTATGGAAATTTGACATTTGATTTGTGACAAATCCTTGCAATTTGATTTTTGACAAAGCCTTGCAATTTGATTTGTGACAAATCATGGCAAAATGAGAGTTTCTCGCAGCTAGCAAAAGAGAGTTGGTAGAAATAGTTGCCTTATTAGACTTTTAATCAAACTATTTATTGTCAGGTTAAAGGTTGTCTCTTCCAACTTGAGATGCTGTTTTTCAATTTTTTTCACTTTGGTGTTTGTTCATCATCAGTTCTTACAAATTTTTTCAAGTGATAAGCACCTTTCATTACAAATTTGAAATTAGATACAGTAGAGCTAAGTTATAAATTGAATTTCATCATTCAGCTATTTAGTATTCCTGGGTCTCGTCAGTGGTGTTTCTACGGGCCTTGAAGTGTTGAAACCTTGCAGAAAAGTAAAGAATTCTGAATTGGTTGAAAGAAATATGAAAATTTGATAATTTTCAAACATTTATAAAGAATGTCAAGTATATGTTTATATTCTGAACCCTGCCACTATTCAAATGAATTACAACATGGCATACAGGTTATTGTTTACATCTGGACTAAATGTCAATCAGTAGTGTCTATGACCTTCAATCTCACAGAAGACACACTTCTGAACAGTTCTTGATATGCATTCCATTTTGTTCGTAACGAGCGTGTTTACCACCCATTCTTCAATCCTGTCTTTGCTCACAGGGACATGGTTCATTAGCTTTTCTGACATGCTTGATGCTCATTAGTTTGCCTGTTGGTTCCATGGTCCTACACATTGCTATCATTAGAGAATGTGACATTACTTACTTGGATTGACCAAGATTTACAAGGCGAGTGTCATCGAAGAAGCAGAAGACACTGACTCATCTGAAGCACCTGGTCATATTATCCTTTTTACTTTTTAAGAGTCTGTGTGAAACTGTCTTTCGTTCATTTTATGCTTTAGTTTTATTGAATTTGAGTTTGGATTACAATTATGTTGACATTTGGATATTTTCTTGTTGTTTTTTTGTTCACATAGAATGTATTCATCAGATACTATAAGATATTTCCGCCTTGTCTACACAAAAACATTTTCATCCACTTGTCTTTGTGTAATACAATGGACTACAAGCTGGGCTCAATCTCATACAATGATATACTTTACAAAAGAAAGTTTTTTCTTGCCCTGGCATGAAGTTGTTTATTTTTAGCA